AATTGAAAAGTTGCAGCGAGACAGTTAAGAGATATCGAAGAGTAACACTATTACAACTTGAAACAGAGGTGTGCTTCATGAAAGAGAGAGCAGATTCTCATGTAAGCCACAGGAAAAGCAAGCGCTTGCATATGCAGCAGCTGTCCTCCACAGCTTCTGCAGCAGCAGCATTTGGCTGCCAACGTAGGTGACGCAGCAACAGCATCCTTTTGTGCTTTTCAGGACGATGCTGATCCCCTGCAGTATCTTTCGGCGCATTGAGACAGTTCATTACGTAAGTAAGTCACATGCATAAAAGATAAGGCCGAATATGACGGATATCTCTTAGTAAATATTACCAGATATTCACACTAGTAGAACGTCCACAGATATACAGGTGACTGCTGCAACAGCATCTTCTATCTTTGCCCACTCATTGCAATTTATTTGAGGTGCACTCATCGCGTTTGATTCATACGCATAGAACGTTAGCTTTTGCTCAAGTAAGTGGTGTTGCAGAGAGGAAGCTTCAATAGATATAATAAAGATATACTGTGTATACTATATTANAGTGGTGTTGCAGAGAGGAAGCTTCAATAGATATAATAAAGATATACTGTGTATACTATATTAAAAGTAAGTGCACACAAATATGGCGATATTCAAATGGAATAGAGATATAGTGAAAACGTTCTAGGGATATCTTAGAGATCAAATAGATATAATGGAGGCATAGAAAGCTCTTTCGCAGGTGAACTAGGTCTGAATGCTCAGTCTTGAACAGCACCGCTGTCACCACTTGAGCGGCACAGATTCGTCCCACAAAGATAACTGAAGTAGTTCACATGATCAACTATTGAAAATTGATAATTCGCGAAACTAATTATTGGGTCTTGGCCTTTAGTTAAGGAGATGCAAGACCCAGCGTTCGTGTTTGTTCGCTGCATCGACCGCTGTTTTGATGCGTGTAAGGCCCTGAGGTTTAGCAGTTCATGTCCAGAATACACGGAAAACTCGGGAAACGAACACTTCAGTAGATCTTCATCGAAGAAATAACTTATAATTTCCTAAATAATAACTCTTATAACTTTATCAACGTAGAGACTAGGTGGGGAAATGCCAATTTCCCCACTGTAGACACATACATGTCCGAATTTGCCGCATATGCCATATTAAAATCGCCGCGGGAGCTGGATGCACAAGATGGCAGACAGAAACTCCTTGATTAGTGAGGAGGGGGAAGGACACTGCGTATTAATGATAAAACGTGGTTCTGGTCCTTGTTGGGTTGGTCGACAGGCAAACCTACCAGAGTACTCCTGGGAATAGCCTGCTGTACCAGCATGCTATTGCGGCTGGTTCTTTTTTCCGCGATTACCTGTAGGGTTGCTGCAGCTGATCGGTACTGTGGGGAAATCCGCTCCACCGGGTTGCTACCAACTGAGTTACGTGTAACGGTCAAAACGATGTTTTGTGTTCTATCTAATGTTCGGCATCGCCTCTCCAACCAAACCAATAAAACTAACACACTGTAGTGCTTACGCACGACAGCACGCCAGGTATCTACGTGAGCGACTCTACTCGGTGTAACACACCGAAACTGCATTTTATATGTAATGCGTATAAATATTCTCCTTTGAGTGTATGTCCTCCTAGACTTCCGTGCAAGTGGATTGCTTAGAAGTGGTATGTCTCGTGATGCTCGTGCAACTTCAGTTCTGATTGTGTAGCACGCACCTCTGGGGTTCTCCAGGGAACCTCAGGGTATGCCGTTTGGATTTTGGCTAGAAATTCAAATTGCAATCCTCACACATAC